ACGGTAGTAATGGGAAGTTTGAAAACTTTGACTTGGTTGAATGTGATGAACCTAGAATTCTGAACGACGAGTTAGTAGCTGTCGGTAGTCTTGTCGAAAGAGGTAAAACCATTCAAGAATCTTTTATTCTTTACAAAAAGTTTTGATTGTTTTAGAGAAAAAATTGTTGTTTTTTTTTCATACTTATATTTCTATATATTAACTCACCTTTTGTCGTTACATTTGGACGATAGCATAATAATAATAATAATAATAACTAGATGTGAAACTCGTTGCGAGCAACGAGAGGTCTTCCGTCCGATTCCGGAAGGAAAACGTTAAATCGAGCAGAAAAATTGAAAAAGATTTGCACACAAGGGGGATTGAACCCAAGTCGCCAGCATGAAACTCCAACGCACTAAATACTACGCCATCGCGACCTCTACTCTTAATCTACTTGTATATATGTACAAAACAGTGCTTCTGTCTTAAAATTATGAAAGGCAGGTCACTTTTCAAAATTTAGCGATAAACACCACGAGTTAATCTTTGCGCCTTTTCTTTGGAATGTTCTATTAAATAGGTGTCATATCTTCAATGAAGTTAAAAAAAGAACGTTCTTATAGTCTATTCAAGGTTTACAAAGTATATTAACACATTTTACAAATTCCATATTGTATATATGCATTTAACACTAAAGCGGTGAAACAGTTATGAATTTTTAACTTTTTTCAGTTTCCTTTGTATCCCCAAAGTGAACTATGCCGATTAGTAAGTCGACAAAGGTTGAAATGTTTCGCCAAAAAACATGGCTCCTCCTACAGCGGTCGTGGAATCAGATATCATTATTGATCAATAACTCTGAGACAAGAATGCTTAAATAAACTCCATGAAGCGATCTTTTATAAACATCTTATTTTTGTCTTATTTATTAGTTTAATATGACACAAGTGTGCATAGGAAAAACAGTTGTTAAGATTTATACTTAAAATTTTAATTGATATTCTTTTTTGAGAAAGCATTACTTATAAGCATGATTAAAGATCTGTTTTTCCATGGTGCACAAAAGATATTAGGTGTCGAATTTCCTTTGCACACTTAGTCTTTTACCAATTATAGAAGACGTTAGTTTGACACAGAACTGCAACGAAACTACGACGTGACAATCCAAGTATTCCTTTACATTTCATTTATCCTTATCTTACTTTCGTTCAAGCAAACGCTCGGCTGCCTCCGTAAACCCCTATTGCGAAATGTCGGCGTTGACAGAGACAGCCGCCATTTTGGACCCGCTTCAGATTTTTGAATGCTAATATCTAGAGTTAAGATTTATCAACATTCAAACAAATTATATAGTAAGCATTATAAGAATGGTTTCTATTATCATACCAAAAATAAATGAAAAATACTGAAAAACAAAAAAGTTAGAAAATACGATTTTTTTAAATTTGCATCTCGTAACAACCGGAAGTACTGACGACGCACGAGAAGGTGATTCTGCAAACCACAAAGTGACAAACTATCGTCTCCAATAAGTCTCCAGGTCATATCTTTAGCTATTTTTGAGAAAAAGGGGCGACAAAATTGCATTTAAAAATCAGGAAATCGTCCATAACTTGGCACCATAAGCGAATTTTCCAAATTTCTCTTCGGATGTAACAACTTCATATAATGGCACATATTTTGTGAAAGTTTCATGAAAAACCGCTGAATAGTTTTCGAGAAATCGCCTGCACAAAATTTTGTCAAAAAAAAGAATAATAATAATAAGAATAATAAGAAACAGTAGAATCACTATAAGGTCTTCCGTGAAGACGGAAGACCTTAATAATAATGCTTTATTTAAAGAAGGTAACCCGATTAGTACAAAGTACTATTCTTCCCCGGGGCCTTCTATATTTCAAACAATATACATAAAATGGTACAATCGAACATATATACAATGTACATGAAAATGATAAGCTCATTTTATAACTTCATAATCGAATGTAGCATACAAATTAATGAAAATATAGGACAATAAATAAGTCAATATACAAAGTTTAAAAGACATAGTTAATAACAATAACAAGGACATCTATAATAATAAAAATTACAGACATTGGCTAATTATAACTTTTTCCAAATTCTTTCTAAAAACAGGTAAAGATGGCGATAATTTAACATGTAACGGTAGACTATTCCATAAATGTACACCTGAATATTGTAAAGAGTTTGTAAATAAGATTGTTCGATGCTTTGGTAATCGAAGATTATAATTGAATTCTGAATGTAATGAGTATGATTCAGAACTGTGAAAAATAAAAAGATTCTGGATATATTCTGGGCTCATACCATAAAAAGTTTTATACAATAAAATACATTAATGAAACGTAACTAACTCAAAAACATTTAACCATCCTAGTTTTTCAAACAAAGGCTTAGGTGGTTGGTCAGGTGCTGCATCAAGAATAATTCTAGCAGTCCGTTTCTGAAGCTTATGAATTCTCTCAATGTTACATTTGGACGTATTACCCCAGACTGTGAGACAATAGTTTATTGTAGGCAAAATGTATGCATTATAGAAAAGTTTTCTTGTACTTAATGGAAGAAATTTCTTAATCTTACGGAGCGTAAATAATTTGTATCTCAGGGATTTACAAACTGCATCAACATGACAATTATACTGAAGAGATTGATCTATCTGAATACCTAGGAGTTTTTCAACTTCAACATTTTCCAAGTTTTTGCCTGAAATTTTTGCATCAAGTACTGGGTTATTTACTCTTGATCTTTTTTGTTGTGTACACATAAGCATGCATTTTGATTTGTCTGTGTTCAGTATCATTTCATTCTGTAAACACCACTTTTCAATTTCACGTAAATCAGAATTTAAACGTGTTTCAATATTATGTACATTGCTGTTAGGTAAATGCAGAGTTGCATCGTCCGCAAACATATCAATATTAGAGTAATTTACACATAAAGGAAGATCATTTATATACAATAAAAATAGGAGTGGGCCTAAAATGGATCCCTGTGGTACCCCTGCTGTGATAGGTAAAATATCGGAAGAACATGCGCCAATTTTTACACTTTGCTTCCTTTCGTTTAAATATGACTGGAACCACTTGATTGTTAGTGAATCAAAATTATAATGTCGTAATTTCTCTATTAAGATATCATAACTGACTAAATCAAACGCCTTACTAAAATCTAGAAAAGCTATGCCAATTAAATTTCCTTGGTCCATTTCATGCAACCAGTTATCGGTAAGTTTGGTTAGTGCTGTTTGGCAAGAGTGGAATTCCCTAAAACCAGACTGTGAGCTCATAATGAGGTCAAAAGCTCTCGTAAATTCACGTACTTGATTAGCAATATGCTTTTCAAAAATTTTTGACAAAGTTGGTAGGATTGATATTGGACGGTAATTACTGGGATCACTTTTATCGCCTTTCTTATATATGGGGGTGACTTTAGCATGTTTCAGCTGGGAAGGGAAGATGCCATTAGTAATGCTAGTATTAATGAGATGAGTTATGGGTTTAGAAATTACATTTGCAGAAAGTTTTAAGAGACGGGGACCAATGAAATCTACATCTGCTGATTTATTAATGTCAAGTGAGCGTAGCATAGTTAAGACATCATCCAGCTGGCTTATAGGAAGTAAGCTAAACACATTTTCATCATTGAGTTTGGACTTCGTGAATTCTTTTAATTTTTGAGAATTAAAGCTATGGTTTTGTGTTTTAGTTAATAAATTGTCAGAAATTCTTGTGAAATGCTCATTAAAAACATTTACGATTAGTTGTAAATCATCAATTTCTGATTCATTGTCTTTAATAAGAGTCGGAGAAACATTTTTTGACTTGGAAGCTAAATGATTAAGATAGCTCCACATTTCTCTAGGATTAGAGCTCTCCTCAATTGCTGATTTGTAGTACATACATTTTGCATTATTAATCAACAGAGTAACTTTATTTCTCCAATGACGAAAATTATCAAAGTCTTTATGTTGATGATAGTAATCTCGTAACTGTCTAGCATCATTAATTTCTGGTGTGAACCATTTCGGACGAGACTCGGTTTTTACACGTTTAGTTTTTACCGTAGCATATTTATTGAGAATGGTATTAAACATGCTGTAGAAGTTTTCCAATATATCATTAGGATTTTGCAAATTCGTAAGAACATTAAAATTGGCACTTTGTAAATCAGAGAGAAATTCTTCCTCATTAAAATTCTTAAAATCTCTGTATTGAATTTCAGTGTGTTTTCCCTTACGCTGCATGCTGTTAGATTTACGTGTTGCACAAACAGGGTAATGGTCAGAGATAGCTATGGGTGGTACTTGAATTTCGCAGATGTTATCAGGTTGGGTAGTGTAAAAATGATCAATAAGGGTACATGAGGTGTTAGTTATTCTAGTAGGTATGGTAATTAGTTGAGTAAGTCCAAATTCTTCAAGAGCAGATGTCCAAGATTGAGGGGGGTCTTTAAGCAAATCTACATTAAAATCACCTGTAAGTATGATTTCTTGGTCATCACAGCAGGGGGCACGATTTATCTCTCTCGCTAGGTCTTCCACCCAGCAGGAGGGGGCAGATGGTGGGCGGTATGCAGAACAATAAAGTATAGATTTTGTGTTCTTTAAATTAATTTCTAACCATATTGTCTCAATGTTACTGATTTCTAAATCTTTTCGACGTTTATAGGATAAATCATTTGAGATATAAATTACTATTCCACCACCTGCCTTATTTTGTCTATCTTTTCTTTCAAGTACATAGCCATCTATACTCAAATCTGAATCACTAATATGGTCCTGTAAAAAAGTCTCACAAAGCCCCAGTTCATCCATAGATCGTTCATTTTGTAGAATTAATTTCAGTTCGTCCAATTTTGGTATAAGATGACAAATATTAAAATTTTCAAAACGCAAACCCTTTTTTACAAGACCAAATCCAGTGGTCACTGGAGTACATTTATTAGCTGTGCTTATAGTTTTGTTTGAATTAAGATTTTCACATGCAAGACTTTTGTTAATCTTATTTTTATAAGGAATATTACAAATATTTTATGATACATTGTTATTTTTCTTTCCATTAAAGGCCCTAATTGGCAGTGGGAAGATCAAGATGGAGGAAAAGGAAGTATTGGAGTGGTATACAAAACGAAACGGAATTCTGTCGTTTATGTAAATAATTCTAGCAATAATTTGATATGTGAAAGAGATATGAAGAAAACTTAATAATTGCTCGTATGTTGAGAAAATTGTCAATATTATAGGTAAGATGGCCAAATTCAAATAAAAGCAATTACAGATTTGGTTATGATGGAAAGTTTGATGTCCAGTTGTGGTATGTACCTATCCATAGTCAAAAACATCATATACTGATACCTTTATTATTTTATTTTACTATTTTTCAAATTCATTTTGTTTATGATATTTTAGTGACCCATTTGACTCGGAGGTAATTAGGAGGTTGAGACAACAAAAGCAAGAAGCTGGAGAAATAGCTTCTAAATTAGCAAATGAAACCAACAATACAAAATGTATGCTCATCAATTGACCATGAATATTATTCAATTTGGAGTTAAGTTATTAGTAGAATAAAATATCGGATTTTTTAAATGATCTGTAAAAATCCCACGTTGTGTTATCCACGAAAAGTTTGTCTACAATGCATTATGTATTCAAATAATAAAATTGTTTGGTTGAGAGAAGCAACTGTGATTTTTCATTAAATGCATTTATTTACAAGCGCCTGAGATCGAATCTCGAGAGGACGAAAGAGGGAGAACACATCTTTCTATAAGAAGTCTTATTGTTACGCCTTTCGTGAACGGATCCGTCCTTCCTTATGGTAAAAATCCAAATATATCTAAATGTGACGATCCGGGAGATGTTCATCACTACAGTAAAACTTCGGGATTCATCGATGACAAGCAGGAGAATGAAGCCGATGCCGAATCTCCTCCTACAGATATCTGGCAATTTAGAGGCGAAGATGGTCAGTGGGTAAACTTCTCTAAAGAAATGAGTCAAAAGATCGATACTGATTACAGGAAGAATAATAGAGGCACGGTACTTATTAACATCCGGGACAACTGGTAAGATTAACATATTTTATTCTGGGCAAATGACCGATTGTTTTGAAATACGTAACATCTGCGGCTTCAGAGGGTTTTTTTAAAATATGATAGACTTTTACATACTCATATATTGGCAAAGTATTTTGAAATCATTTTTTAAATGAAAAGATGTTTATTGAAAAATTTAAATATAATTTTCTTCCATAATTTGTTTAAGAGAGTTATCAGAGTTTCTTTTACACAATTCTTTTTTTCCTTTCCTAAGGACACAAAAATTGCCGAGGAAAGAGCTAGAAAATGTCGAATACTAATGAGCAACTGTCTATGGCACGCCAAATTCACAAAAATGAGATAAACCTAGTTTCACATTTGATAAACTAGGTTTATCGACTGTAAACTATAGTTTACAAACCGTAAACTACAGTTAACGATTCGTTAAGTATAGTTTTCATCCGTAAAACTATATTTAACGGTTGTTAACTATAGTTTACGAATGATAATCTAAGTTTATCTGTCTGTAATAAGCGTTAACAATAGTTTTTGTTGATAAACGTAGATTCACCTTTGTAAACTATAGTTTACAATCGTAAACTATAGTTAAGAGTTGTTAATCATAGTTTCACAAATCGTGAAACTATATTTATCAGATCGTTAACTATAGTTAACGGTTTGTAAACTATAGTTTACAAATCGTGAAACTGTATTTATCAGATAATCTATGTTTTGCAATCGCAAATGATTGTTTTCAGTGTTAAGTATAGTTTACGGTTGTGAAACAAAGATTATCGCGTTAACTATGGTTTACGGATGTAAAATATAGATTAACGTTGTTAAGTATAGTTTACAGTCCGTAAACTATAGTTTACAACCGATAAACCTAGTTTATCGACTGTGAAACTATGTTTAGCTCATTTTTGTGAATTTGGCGTGCCATAACTGTCTTCATTTACATTTTTACATTTACCGGAATTGAACATTTATAATTACTTTGTTATTTACAGATGTATTAAGTGTTAGAGAACCAAGAAGTCAAAAGATTTTTAAAATTTAATGAATTACTTTGCCAGAACATTGCAAAAAACCTAGCTAAAAGGTTCTTTATTTGATTATCCGAGCTGTTTAGCCCTCGTAAGAGTTCACCATGGTGTACTTTTGTTTATCTTTAAGGTACAGGGTCGTACTGTCGAAGATGAAGAAGATTGATATTAGAACAAGACAAAGCACTGATATCCGACTTCTCGAAGGCAAGAGTGACAAAAATAACTGACTGTTGTCTGAACATTGGCAGTTCCCCTGAAATCAAACCATTCTTGGCATTAATTCTTACAAAAACATTAAGCTTTTCAGATGTATTTAAATAACTAATTAAATATACTTTTCATGTCCTATTTCCATTCTTATGTCAATACGATAATAATATCCCAGTGAGCTTGAAATGAAAGATACCACCGAGTCTGACAAATCTGTCTCATACTTGTTTATTTTACTTTAGAAAGACTTTAATGGTAATCTAACTATATGCTGTATGATAAACGTGATGACTTTAACTTTTCAGTCAACTTCCCTTACTTACATGACTTATGCAGCAATATATATATATATATATATATATATATATATATATATATATATATATATATATATATATATATATATATATATATATATATATATAGACTCCCACCTATATCTTATGCCCTCTAGCTGTCATCCCCCACACACTTTTAAGGGAGTGCCTAAGGGTCTAGCCACCAGAATTCGACGCATCTGTTCGTCCCCTGCCTTATATCAGGAGCAAAGTGATCTTCTTAAGTCCCACTTATGCAAAAGAGGCTACAATGCCCGCACCGTACAAACAGCTATTGATGAGATGGCGGGACATGACAGGCAAAACCTATTACGCTACAAGGAGAAAGACAATAGCGGCAGGGTCCCTCTGGTAACCACATACCATCCCGTCCTTAAGAACCTTAGCGATATCCTTCAAAAGAACCTACCAATTCTCCATTCAAACAAACGAATGGCAGAGGTCTTTAAGGAACCCCCATTGGCTGCATACAGACGCCCAAGGAACCTAAAGGACATGGTAGTAAGAACCAGACTGGACAACCCATTACCTAACGGGGGCTTTAAAACTTGCTCTGACAGAAGATGTCTTCTTTGTAAGCACAGCTTTGACACAGACAGTTTTAACAGCCCTGTTACAGGCCGCAGCTACAAAATACTAGGGAATTGTCCTGTCATACTGACAACTGCATTTATCTCATCAGTTGCAAAGTTTGCTCCAAACAGTATATTGGTGAAACAGGAGATCTCCGCAGGAGAGTCAATAACCACCGTTCGACCATTAGGACCAAAAAACTCAATGAACCCGTTGGGGAACATTTCAACCTTGAGGGTCACAAATGGGAGGACATGACAGTAGTGGTGATTGACCATAACCCAAGATGGACAGATGCTCAGAGAAAAAGCAAAGAAAAGTTCTGGATGCACAGATTGAAGTCATTCCGCCCTAATGGTATTAACAAACTGAATGACTTCACCAGAATGAACGTAAACTAGACCCAATTCCTGATGATACTAAACAAGATTATTCTCTCAATTTAGTGTAAACTCTACAGTTAATTTGCGTCACCAACTCTCGAACAACTCTCATAACTATGTATTGCTTACACCTTTGTTAATTATTTTTTCCCGGTAATAAGTCCTTAAATATTTCAAAATTTATAATTGATCATAATTCATATGTTTAAATATCCCTGCTATATTATTTTTCTTCGATTATTCTTTATTAAGTAAAGTTACGCCATTTTGAGAGAATGAAACAATGTACGATTTACTGATTGTCGTAATTAATTAGCATAATTAATTCGTTCAATTATGTAAATCGCACTTCACCCGAGTATACCCGATAGACCGGTGTCGCATAATATTTGGTCCGCCTCGTTTAAAGGTCCGACCGGTGTCGCATAATATACGTTCCGGGTAACTTAGCGTTCCGGCCGGAACGCTAAATACCTATAATATTGGTTCCGGGCCATAATAAACGTTCCGGCCCGCGTAAGATTGGTTCCGGCCGTAAAAAACGTTCCGGGCAACCAAGCACCCTATTAAACTCTCTATTTATATTTAATATTAGTTGTTAATTTTAATTTTCTTCTTTCTTTTATACCTTCGTATATGATACAGCAGGATTTAATCTTAAGACAACATATATGTTTACATTTCAAGTCAGAATATGCGGTCTTTTTACCAGAGACATTATATATTTATTGATGCCTCTGATTTAAATATATTAATCCACGAAATTCCAGTTGATTATTTTGATTCTTTGTAAACAAAAGAAGGTGTGAAACTTGTTTACATTGACATACCCCCATCGTGCTGTTTTACGACACACTTGGCTTCTATCGATACGAATAATTGCGCAGTCTTGCGAATCGCTGTAAGCACACATGACCACCCTGATCAGATGACAATGTTGATAGATTAATTATATTTACGATAAAATACTTTAATTTTTAGATAATATTTTAATTTCCTTACAATTTTTTTTAAACACCCATACATGTAGTTGCGTTTTTTTAAAACCACATAATTATATAAATAAATTAAAATACAAGAACATAATGGGAAACGAGTGCATGCCGGATCTAAAAAGGGAATTTATAATTTAAGCATTTAATACGAAGGAAAAGTGTTTCCCGTTTGTTGATTATTTTTCTTCGTCAGGTGAAGTTTTTTTTTTTTTTTTTTTTTTTTTTTTAATTTTAATGTTATATGTCAACAAAACATGCACATGATCAACTTGGAAATGTTTCAATGACACGGCTAAAAACTTTTGAATAAAATTCAACTCATTTTTATTTATGCACGAAAGTACAAGTACATTTGTATTCATTTGTAAAAATAACACTGAAGAAGAAATGTATTTCAGACACAGATCTGTATTTTACTATTTATATGAATAGCATTGTGAAGTCTGCTTACCCCCCCCCCCCTTCCCCTGCAGTGAACAATAGACAAAAAACTTGATTTGCTTGGTATGAAATTTTCTATATTTTAATTAACAATTTGTTGAATGTATTCAACAAACAAAGGAGTCTTAGTGGGGAAGGCAACCGCGAACGTTTGTTCTATCGCCTACCTGATTTTTCAAAAGACATCTTTGAATGACTTTTCTTATAGATATAATGGGTTTTTTTTACGAACTTTCAAAAACTATAATTATTTGGAAAAGAAGAAAACGTTTCACTTTAATTCTGATAAAACGTGTATTTCCGCTCTAGAACTCTATGGGAATGTAAAATCTTAATTTAAAATGAAAACCTGCAGGCATGCTTATGAAGCTATCGTAGGACTAAGACATCTCTTAAGACGAACTTACGACATATCTTAGTCTTAAGTGAGGCCATCGAAGCTATCCTATCTTAGGAGACCTCCTAATCTTAGTCCTAACTTTAAGATGACTGCGGACATGTCATATCTTAGGTGATTTTAAGAAACGCTGGTGTCAGGAAAACAAGTAAGAATGTTTTTCGTTTAAATAAATCAACTATTTACTGTAAATTAATGATTTCTTTAATGAACTAAATCCATTTATGAACATCATACCGTGTGAATATATGTATATGCCTGTACAAATAGAAATGGAGAGAACAGTTAATAAGAATGCGCTCATTGACATGTATGCATTTAAAGATTAAAACATTGAAAAAGATTTATTCAAGTCCTTTCTAAGTAGATAAAAATATACAATTGTTTTTTATTGGAACAAAAACGGAGTTATAGGGGGGGATACATTCAAAAGATCTAAACCAATCTGCTGCGTTTATTGGTTTAAGCCGATTTAAATAATAAAAACA